GCCGCCCACGGAGAGGAGCTGAGACCCCAGGCCACAGCCCGCACTCCCAGCAGACAGCCAGCACCAGTGTGCTGTGTGAGCGCCCCGTCCTGGAAGGGGCCCCCCGGCTAATGCCAGGAGCAGCCCAAATTGAAGATTCATGAGGAAGACAAATGACTGTTATGTTTAAATGACCTAATCTTGGGGTGCCTTTTTACCCAGTGATACATAACCAATACAGTTCTCAAAGGTGCAGGGGAGGGATAGATCCAAGGGACCCCCCAGCCACCCCCGCCAGGTCAAGGCTAGCAGGAAAAACTCATGAACCTGGCCAGGAAGGGGGCGGAGTGGGGGCATGCAGTGTCCCACAGACGCCGAGCCGTGACTCCAGCAAGGCCAAGAGAGTCCACTGGCAAAGGACGAGAGCGGTCACCAGAGTCTGGGGCCCCTGGGAGAGGTGTGGCTGCAGCAGGGCCGGGTCAGGCAGGCAGCAGTCCGAGGCCAGCAAAGGAACCATGAGAGCCCCTCAGGGCACGTGCGCCCGGCAGAGCGGGCAGGCCCTGACGCAGCATGCACGCTCCGCCTCAGCTGCACACGACCATCCGCAGGCCCACCAAGCAGGTGGGGGGCGTCAGGGTTCCCCCACCAAGGGCGCTGCCTGGGGCCAGCTGCACAGAGAGCAGCCTTCACAGGGGGTCCGGGCCGTGGGAGACTCCAGCCCAGGGCTGACCTGTTGGGAGGAGGGGAGGGCTCCGTGGGGGAGGGCCACTCCAGCCTGGTCGCCAGCCTGGGAGCCAGCCGGGCCAGGCACCGTGGAATCCTAGAGGCCCCCTCAGGAACCAGTACCTGCTTCCCTAGGGTGGGCACAAACACCAGGGTCATGTTTCAGGAAAACCCTCCGACAAAGGACCTCTGTGACCACATGCAGACTTCCACAATGTCCTACCCCAGCCTGTCCCGCTGCCCGCTGCCCGTCAGCACTGACCCACCCTACTGAGGCTTAGCGGATGGAAATGGCACATCTTGCAAGAAATATGCAGGTTGTGGCAAAGTCAAGGAGAGTTCGTGGANGACCACATGCAGACTTCCACAATGTCCTACCCCAGCCTGTCCCGCTGCCCGCTGCCCGTCAGCACTGACCCACCCTACTGAGGCTTAGCGGATGGAAATGGCACATCTTGCAAGAAATATGCAGGTTGTGGCAAAGTCAAGGAGAGTTCGTGGAGACCTGCCGCCCTCACGCCCTGAACCCTTGTAAAGGGGATTCAGCAGGGTGAGAAGCTGAAGAGCAGGACCCCCCCATAGCAAGAAGAGTGGGCCCCAGGCCACCAGCCGGCCCCCAGGCTCACAGGGGGCCCAGTGAAACTGATGAACTGGCAGGTTTTTCTTTTCAAAACTGACCCTTTTATGATCATGTCACAAGAGCCAGATGTCACTCTGTCACTAACGTCACACACACAGGCACGCACTCAAACTTGATCTTTGCACAGGAGTAATCAAAATGAAGTTTAAGAATAAAGTAAAACTGAGCTTTCTACAAAAATGTTTACATTTAACTTTTTGATATGATGTCCCACATAACCCTGTTTTAAAAGAATGCCCTGTGATACTTTGTTCCAAAATCAAGTGATACCATTTTCTGTGGCATTTTTGTATGCCACGTGACCCAGGGCACAGTCTCCCCCCACCCATTTCCCCAGCTGGGAGAGGCCCCAGAGAGGCTGGGGGAGGGCTGGGAAGGCCTGGCAGGGGGCAGCAGCTTTCATCTGGCAGCATTTTAGGAAGACCCTGCCCCCAGGCCCTTGGGGTGGGACTAACCAGGAGCCTGGAGCCTACTGCTCCGCACAATCCCTGACTTCCTGGCTGAGCCAGGCCTGTAAAGGAAGCAGACATGCTTGGAATTCCAAAAATGCACCCCTGTCTCAGCCTCTGCCTGCTTCCCCAGGCCTCCTGAGACTCACAGAGTGGGGCCAGGATGCAAGCCCAGCCCCCAGCCCTCCCAGAGACAGGGAGCGTGTGTCTGGCCTGGGGATTTCCTGTGCACACCCTCACAGCTGCCCGTATGTGCAGCAGGCCAGATCCCAGGAGGAACGGGGGCCCCTGTCACCCCTGATAATACTGCCTCAAGTGTCCCACCCCACGGCATGATCTTCAGGAGGGACCCCGCCCAGGCCGGCCTCCGGACCCCAGGAGCAGACACAGGGGGTGGGGAGGGGACCCTCATCAAGCCCCGCTCCTCCCAACACCCTGCAAACTCCTGCTTTTCCCCCCCCAAGAGCTCTTCTGAATCAGCTCGTCCAGAAGGGCCTCCCTGACACTGGCCCCCGCATGGAAAGACACATGACCCTGATGAGCTCCCCAGAAACTGGTCTGGCATTGGGGGTGGGGGGAACCACCTTCAGGAATAGATGGCGAGCAGAACTATTAACAACAGCACAAAAAATAAAATATTTAGGAATAAATTTAACAAAAATGTAAGACTTATACATTGAAAACTACACAATATTGTTGAAAGAAGACCTACGTATATGGAAAGGCATCCGGCATTCATAGATCTTAAGACTTAAAATCATTAAATGTCAATATTCCCCAAATTTCTCTACAGATTCAATGCGATCCCTATCAAAATTCCAACTCCTTTTTCACAGAAATGAACAAATTGATCTTAGAATTCATATGGAAATGCAAGGAGCTCAGAATAGCCAAAACAATCTCGAAAAGGGATGAATGTGGACGACTCAAAGCCAATTTCAAAACTTACTACAAACTACAGTAATCAAGACTGTATGTTACTGGGGTAGGAATACGTATATGGATCAACACAACAGAATCGAGATTTCAGAAATTAACTCCTACATCTACGGTCGATGGAGTTTCAACAAGGATGCCAAGACAGTCCAACAAATAGTACTTGGACAACTGGATATCCACATGCAAAAGAACTGATTTGGACCCCTACCTCATCCCATATGCAAAAATTAACTTAAAATGATCGAAGCCTTAAATGTAAGAGCTAAAATTACAAAGGTCTTAGAAGAAAATAGGTGTAAATCTTCATGACCTTGGATTAGGCAACAGCTTCTTAGATAGGACACCTAAACCAAAAACAACCAAAGGAAAAAAATAAGTAAACTGGATTCCATCAAAATTAAATATTTTGTACATCTAAGGACACCACCAATACTGTGAAAAGATAACCCACAGAATAGGAGAAAGTATTCATAACTCATATAACTGATAAGGATACTGGTCTATGGTATCGGCCCAGAATATAAAGACAACCTAATTTAAAAATGAACAAAGGATTTGAATCAACATTTCTTCAAAGAAGATATACAAATCTTCTTCAAATACAAATTTCTTCAAAAAAAATACACAAATCCTGCCAATAAGTGCATGAGAAGAAGCCCAATATCACTAGTCATTAGGGAAATGCAAATCAAAATCACAATGAAATATCACTTCACACCCACTAGGTCGCTTCTAATCAAACAGATGGACAATAACAAGTGTTGGTGAGGATGTGGAGAGATTGGAACCTTCATGCACTGATGGTAGGAATGTCAAATGAGGCGGCCACTTTGAAAAAGTCTGACAGTTCTTCAAAAAGCTAAACAGATTTACCTCTTGACTGAGCAATTCCATGCATAGGTATACACCCAAGAAAAATGAAAACATGTCCACACAAATACTCGTATAAAAATGTTCATAGTAGAATTATTTATAATAGCCAAAAAGTGAAAACAACCCAAATGTCCATCAACTGATGAATGAATGAACATGTGGTTTATCCATACAATGGAATAGTATTCAGTAATGAAAAGGAATGAAGTACTGACACATGCCACAGCATGTATGAACCTCAAGAATCTAATGCTTAGTGACTGAAGCTGGACACAGAAGGCTTCCATTTTACATGAAGCACCCAGAACAGACAAATCCAAAGAGAAAGTAGGTTCATAGTTGTCCGGGGCTAAGGAAGAAAGGAGGGGGAAGTGACTCCTATGGGCACAGGGCTCCTTTTAGGGGTGATGAAGTGTTCTTCTCTTTAAGGTGATAGTTGCACAGTTCTGTGAAAATACCAAAACCCACTGAATTGCACACTTCAAAATGGTGAGCTTTATGGTATGTGAATTGTTATCACAGTTTTTTAAGACAATCCCTATTGTTTAAGACAATTAGAGTAGATTTCCCCTTTCTTAGGAACAGAATTCTCCTTTCTGATGCCCTGCTTTCTGCCGTATTCCCCTGCCAGGGAGGCAGTCTGCTTTCTCTTGGGCATAGATGGGAATGAGGCCTGACCATCACTGCCTGGGTCCCCGGGGCCAGGAACAGCCTGGGAGAGCTGTGTGCAGGGCCAGATGTCCCCCAGCTTCCGAGAAGAAAGAAAGCCCCGAGCTCTTGCACAAGTTTCCGGAGCCTTCCTGCCTCAGGGCTGCCCCCATCTGGCTCTGGAGGAGCAGGGACTACAGAGGGACCACATCAGACTGGCTCACTGGACCGCCAGCCCCCCTTCTGCAGGTCCCGGCCAGCCTGTATGGTCAGATGCCCATGTGGTACAAGCAATGGCCTCCCCTGGGCCACAGCAGCTTGCACTGCTTCCACAAGCAGAGGGACATGGAAGGTGACTGGAGCCATGATTGACACACAAGTGGCATCACCTCAGCTCATTCCACAACCTTAATTCTACTCTAAATACATGACGGGGCGTGCATATTGAGATGTCTCATTGGCCTTGGGGAAATCGGTAACTCCAGCTTTGGAAATGTCGAGCCTAAAAAACCCACACTCATGGTCCACGGTGGTGAGCTTTCAGACCCCCTTGTCCACAGAGTGGGAGTGCCCAACCTGGGAACATCGGGCCAGTCAGCAGGGACACCCTGGGCAGCTCCTGTCCAAGCAGGCTGACAGCCCAGGACTTCATAAGATGACATCAACTCCACCCTCACGCATTCAGTCTCTGAAGTGAGCCCATCGCCTCTAGCCAGCCAAGCCGGGAGCAGTAGTAAGGCTCAGGCCCTAGCCAGAGAACACACCTCAAACTCTGTTCTCCAGCTTTACTCAAAGGACAGTTACTCATGGGGGACGCCCAAGAACACACATTCCATGGGCTCCTAGGGGTCACACCCACAGGAGAGCCGCAGGCCCAGCTGGTGGTTTGGGCCGTCAGGTTGTCTGCTGAGCCACGTGTTAGAGCTGTTGAGACAGGCCCGTGAAACCAGGGTTTCGTGGTTATTGTGTTGCTGATTTGTCAGGGTTTTGTTAATCTTCTTTAAAGTATACACTCACACAGAAAAAAGCACAAAACAAAAAAATGTGCAGAAAACATACTGAATATCACATAACCACGATGCAGGTTCAGAAGTAAAACATCGCTGACTCCCCAGAAGCCCCCAAGGCCTCCACCTCACCAAAGGTCACTTCATTTAAGGGATATTGCATGATTTGTACTCTTGTGTCAGGCTTCTGTCACTCAAATTTAATGCTTATGAGACCTATTCATGTGATTTATCGCATGCAGTGACAATTCATTAACTTTCAGAGCTCCCAGCATTCCATTGTATGAATGCATTGTGAGCTGATTTTTTGGATCCATTTCCTGTTTGGGGCCATTACTAATCATGCTGTTAGGAACATTCTGTGTATGTATCCTGATGCGCACGTGTACACCTCTGCTGGGTATATTCTTGTGGGTAGAATTGCTGGGTCACTGGGGATGGGTCATTGGAAATGGAAGCCTTCAGTTATATAGAAAACAATGGAAATAGAAATAATACCAAATTGTTTTCCAAAATGGTTGTACCAGTTTACACTCCCACCAGTAGTGGTGAGGGTTCCAGTAGCTCCACATGCTCATCGACACTTGCCATTGTTAGTCTTTTTAATGGCGAGTAAAGGTGCTATGTTAGTTATCTATTGCTGCATAACAAATTACCCTAAAATGGAAAACATTTTTAGTCTCAAAGTTCCTGTGGGTCAGGAAGCCAGAAGTGACTTATCTGGGCAGCAGCAGTTTCAAGTCTCCCACAAGGTTGCCGACAAGATGTCAGCCAGGGTTGTGGTTGTCCAAAGGCTTGACCGAGTCTGGAGGATCTGCCTCTGAGATGGTGTCTTCACATGGTGGCAACGGGCTCAGTGCCTCACCACGTGTGCCTCTCCATAGGGCTGCCTGACGGTGCCCATGACATGGCAGCAGGTCCAAAAGAGAAAGGCCACATTGTCTGTTATGACCCAGTGATTGCCTTTACCACATTCCATCCATAAAATGAGTCACTTAAGTCCAACACATGCTCACGGGCACGGGAATTAAGTTCCACCTATTGAAAAGAGGAGTATTAGAGAATTTTTGGACATATTTTGAAACTACTAGAAGTATTTCACTGTGGTTTTAGTTTGCCTTTCTCTAATATTGAACACCTTTTCATCTGTTTACTGGCCACTGGGATGAACTCTTCCAATATTCAATCGTGGTGTCTGTGTTTCCTTGTTGGCTTGTAAGAGCTCTTTATATATTCTGGAAGGAGCTCCCTGTCTCTTTCATGTGCTGCTAATAGCTTCCCCAGCTCTTAGCTTGCTTTTGCACACTCTCAATGGTATCTTTAATGAGCAAACATCCTTAATTTTAATGTAGCCTAATTTATCAGGCTTTGTCTTTGTGGCTTGTCCTTCTTATATCCTGTTTAAAAAGACTCTCCTTACTCTGAAGGCATGATGGTGACTTTCTGATAGTCTTGTTTTCTTATTATGATGGTTTTTTGATTTGTCAACTTGACTGGGCTGAACTATAGTTCCCAGAATGCCCCTTCCAGTTACTCCTTCAGTTGATGGGCCCGTGGGGTGACAAGGGGTGTTCTTGCCTGAGAGCTGGGGGACAGACAGCAGGCAGCCCCCAGGGGCATGCACACACCTTCTCCCAGTTCCTCAAACACAGGCCTAGGTACTGCTGGGGAGGGATTTCACAGATGTGATTCACAGTTGTCCCACATCACTGGCCTTTAAGATCCGAGGGGAGATTATCCTGGGTGGGCCTGACTCAGTCAGCTGGACGGCCTTTCAAAAGGACTGTCAGTCCCGGAGCCAGACCCCCACAGCCACTGGGTCTTCCTTCCTGACAGCCTGCCCTGCAGACTTCAGACCTGCTTAGCCGGTCTCCACAACTGGAAGTCATGCAGTGACGCCACACACACACACACACACACACACGCACACACACACGCACATACACACACACGCACACACACACGCACACACACACATACACACACACGCACACACACATACGCACACACACACGCGCGCGCGCACACATACGCACGCACACACACGCACACACACACACACACGCACACACACACACACACCGTCACCTACTGGCTCTGCTTCTCTAGTTGCCCCTGAGGTGCACCCATCTCATCTTCTAAAGCCACGTTATATCTGAATCCACAGAGTTGATTATTTTGTGTCTGGTGTGAGATGGGGGTCAAGGATCTGTTTGTTTTTCCCTTTGCACAGTCAATAACCCCAGCAGTCCTTATTAAAAACCCTTTCCTTTGCTACTGCTTCTCCAGCTTGGTCATGAGTCAGGAATGCAGATATTCATGGGCCTAAATTTTCTAAGCTGAACTATTTTGGCCACCAAGAAATCCAATTTCAAATTTGCTACGCAATTTCAGTAATTGTGTCAGACTTTGTGACATGATTTCTGAATACCAGTTTACCACGGATGCTACCCTATAACTCAGACCTTATTTTCCCTTCACTTTGGTGCACTGTAGATGCTCATTAAATCGTGGTTTCCTCCCTTTCCTCTGCTTTGGAAAACAGAGAGCCCTAGAGACAAGACACCAGATGGCTGGTTCTCCTTGCGGGGTCCAGGGGGTACTGAAATGGTCCCACAGCCCTGGTGACTTGGTTGGACCGGGAAGGGTGGTGGAATTAAAATCTGAACATGGGAGACCCATCAGTGCGGACTGTCCAGGTGGCCACGAAGCCTGCCAACAGAGCTGGGCATAGAGGGGCTAGGCAGGGACAGTCCCAACCCCACAGGGACAGAGGGGTCAAGAGGGTGGACATGATGCATGTGCCTTAAATTTTTAAGTATAATTTATTAAAACTGTAGACAGCCTATAAAAACACCCCTTTAGCATGACAACAGTGGCTCTCAGGGGAGCGGGTCAACCCCAGGCCAACCCAGGTCCTGTGGCCATCCCGGCTGCGTCCTGCCGGGCCTGGGGTCCTTTCCACACAGTGCCACGAGAACCAATGCACTGCGGCCAACCCTGCGCTTCTTCACGAGATTTAAAACCAGTGGCCTCCGCCTCCTTCCTCCTTCCCAACCTGGGCACTGCGCTGGGCACGTGGCGGGACACGTATGATGGGGTCGGGATGGACGCACCCCAGGCACGGTGAGCTGTGATCCCTCCACGTGGCGAACCATGGCAGAGCTCCAAAAGCCAGCAGGGGACCTCGCCATGCCCCGACACACAGTGGGCGCCACCACAGCACCGCCGGGTGAAAAAGGCAACGTGAGAACAGTATATAAAAGTGCACTTTCTTTTTGGCAAAAATGGGGGAAAGGGGAATGTATACACATTTCCTAGAATATTCACAAAACATCTCTGGAAGGACATGCAAGAAGCACGCGATACCAGCTGCCACGGGTAGGAAGGCAGGTGGCGGGGACGGGGCAAGAGGGAGTCTTTACCCAGAGCCTTCTACAGCTCTTGGCATTTGAGCCGTGTTGTGAACAACTCTGCCTGTTCACAGAATCAAAACAATTGTTTTAAGAAATTGAAAGAAAAGAAGGACTGAGGCGTCGAAGGGCTGCAGGAGCACAGCTCCCAGCTGCACCGCAGAGAGCCTGGAGCATGAGCCATGGGCTGGAGCCTGGGGCAGGAGGCCACCGCCTGCCCGCCCCACCCGCCAGGCTCATCTGCCCCCCCACGTGCAGACACCGCTCCCCCAGGAGGCCCCCGGACCCGCCGCGGCCGGCCGGCCCTGCCGCTCCGTTCCCTGGACCCTTCCTCCCCCCCCACGGCTGGCAGAGGTCCCTCTTTTTCTTGGCAAGGTACTAGCTGTGAAACATGCAGTGGCCGCAGGGCTGTCTCGCAGACAATGGCTTGGACACGATTCGAAATAGGAAAAATCTCTCTCTACGTCTGCGCTCCGAATCCGCACTCCCCACTGCTGCCAGCCGCTCGGAGGAGCAGAGAGAGGAACAGGCCCCGAAGAAGAGCGCACGGGCTGCTGGGCAAGGACCTGAGACAGGGGTGTGGCTGGAAGCAGGCTGTGCACCCAGAAAACAGAGCCTCGTGTGGTGCGGGTCCACATGGGGAGCCCGTGGCGACCGCGTGCATGAACACGAACGAGAGGGTAGGGCGAGCGTGTGTGCACACCTGTGCACGTGGGCTGATGTGGAACGGGCCAGGGCAGCCCGGGCGGCCTCTGGGTGTCCATCCCCATGGGCCTGCAGGGCCAGGGACACGCAGCCTGACGTGATCTGCCTGTGAATTCCCACCCCTTCACCACTGGCCAGATGGCTAGAGAATTCTGCTGGTGCTCACCTTGTGTTGTTTTATCTGTAACACCAGGGAGAGGTGAGGACTCGGTGAAATGACCTGTGCGGAGGGCCCCACACCCTTTATGGATCAGACACTCAACAAATGCAGCCCCCAGCCCCGGCCTTCCCGCCGAGGGCTGCCTTCCCCAGCCTCAGACCCCACCTCATACCCCACGGGCTCCTGGGAGGCCCACCGGGACACAGGAAGTGGGCCTGACATCAAGGCCAAGGGTGCTCCCAAAACATGGCAGGTTCATGTCAAGATATTCTTGGGGAGAAACAAAAACAGAAAATGCCAAGAAGAGAGGAAGCGACGGGCAGTCGCAGCAGGGTGCCAGGGTCGGGGGTGGCCCAGGGCAGGCCTGGTGGGGGCACGTGCAAAGCCTGAGGGTGAGGGTGGATTTGCCCAGACCCATCGCGGCTGGTTGGGCATTGGCGCTGAACCCACAGGAGGCCCACTCTCTGAGAGGGGCCCCACCCAACCACAGCACCCCCGGGGCCGGCCCAGCACCCAGAGCCCCTGCTCCTACCCTCTCTCTCCAGGCCTCAAATGTGTAAACGCAGAAGCCAGGAGTCTACCCCCACCCAGGCTCACGCTGAGAGAGAGCAGGGCTGCAGGGAAGGGCCGAGTGGGGGCCGGTGGTGGCAGGCAGATGTTGGGCAGGGCCAGCCTCTCCTTCTGCCTCCCCTGACTGCCCTCCCTGCCCACCAGACGGTCCTAGCGAGCTCCCCTCACCTTCAGCCAGCGGAACGCAGCCAGAGACCCGGAAAAGGGAGGCCAGGGCCTTGAGCCACCAGCGCCCTCCCCGCTGGGCCACTGTAGCTGGGTGACACCCGGGGTGCCCCTCCCCAGATTCGGCATCCTCCTTGCGGCTGCACAGGTCTGCCCATGGGACTCTGACCGGCACAGCAGCCCAGATGGTGCCCCAAGCCCCAGACACAGGACCCCAGCCACCGCCAGAGGCAGCTGCTCGCCGACTGCTCACGTGAGGCTCCCACTGAGGTTCCTTTCATCTCTGTGCCCCAGACGGAGACTGGCAGGTGGGCATCTGTGGACGAATCAGCCGGGAGCTGCCTGCCTGCACGCCTCCCCTGGGCCGCAGAGCGCCCTGTCTAACCTCACCCCCACCCCTCGGGCCCCTCTCCCCTGGGGGATGACCGGCTGGACACAGCTCCTACTGGCCGCCCTCCCCACCCCCACCTAGCTTCTGCACAGCGGGAAGAAGGACCTTTCAAAGGGGAAAAGAAACCAGAAAGCAGAGGGGAGGAGAGGGGCTGCTCCCCTGCTGAAATCCCTCATGGCTCCCCTCGTTTGGAGAACCCACACCCCTTACCCTGGCTACAGGGAGTCCCCACAGGATCCGGGAGCTGCCTTCTACCCTCTCCCTCACTGGCTCCAGTCAACACCCCAGGTTTGTGTGTGCCCCAGGACCTTTGCACTGATTGCTCCTTCTGCCTGGGAGGCTTCAGAGACTGCTCTCTGCTCCTCATCATTCTGGACTGGCCTGAAACATCACCTTTTCCCTCCATGAAAGCACCTCCCTCTGCCACCCTCTCTGTGCCCACCTCTCCTGGCCCTCTGGGTAGTGGATGGCACACTCGGATGGCAGGGTCTGGGGATGAGGACCGCTCACCCACACAGCCCCAGGGAGAAAGCGCTCGGGCTCTATGCAGACCAGACCCTCAGCAGGTGGCAGTGCCCGCAGGCCCCAGCCAGCCTGACAGCCTGGGCTCAGCCCGTTCTGTACGAGGGGATCA